AAAAAAAAAAAAATTAAACAAAAAGAACAGAATAAGAAGAAGCTACTTGTAAATCATAACACACTGTGCAGTGAATGAGGAGTAACGTCTACTAAAAAGAAAAAATTTATATATATATACATTTTAAACTGGACATCACCTCCCCAAATGGACCTAATCTATTATAAAGCAAGGGACAGAGGAAGGTAAAGAGGGTACACACAAGGTGTGCTTTCTAAGCTCCCTCTGGAGTGCAGCCGCAGGCCCCGGACAGGCATCTCCAGAGTCGCCCACCAGGTGTGGCAGTGCGGTCTTGTCCGAGGCGGCCACTCCTCTGTGGTCTTCCTCAGCTGGGAACCCTGCAATGTAAGAGCTCTGAAAGCCACACTGCTCATCTCTGTACCAACATGGGAACTGTGAAAGGACATCAAGGAAACGAAAAGCAGTGGCCTCCAAGACCTATGCCTGGCGTCAAAAGAGCCCTAGGGAAAGGGGGACGGGGGCTGATGGAGAGCCCAGAAGCAGGAGGACACTACACTCCACGCAGCTGAACTAGACAGTCCACTCGGGGGTGCCAGAGGGAGTGGCGATGACGCAGATGCAACTGGAGGCTCCAGGCTGCTTACCTGTTCCACTTTGATGTCATAATCTCCAAGGACTTTTTTGCCCCGAAAGCACTTGGCCCTGAAGAAAGGGAAAAACCCACACAAATTAATTTTGTACAAGCATTTAGAGTGAGATGAAGAAGAGGACAACAGCAGACAGAACCCCAGCCCGAGAGCCAGGAGAGTTCTCACACTCACTCTGTGACCACCCCACCCTAAGACACCAAGCAAGCCACGTCCTCTCTTCTAGCCCCAGTTTATCCGCCTGCAAAATAATATTAAGGGTCCTTTCTCATTCTGCCTCTGTAATTTTATAAGACTCCTTGTTTGGCTGCCAAAAAAAAGTCTAGCAGTGGGAACTTCTTCAGTGTTATTCTAGGGAAGACGAGGTCAATCTACATCTCGGGGTTTCCTTATTTCCTGACTCATGCTTCACTCTGATATTCCAGCTGCTTTCCACCCTTGGATTTTTAATTTTTAAAAATTGCTGTTAACATTTACCTCTTCATAGCAATACAAAGAGAGGAAGAAACTGAAGAAAGCTTGACTCCTGTGCTTATGAGCAGTCACAAAAATGAGTCAAGCTGAGTGATAGACCCAGTATCCTCACAATGCGTTGTGAACCTAGAGGAACCATACATCACCACACTAGTGACATCACGATCCCTGGTTAGCAGTCTATGTTTGTGTCTGTATTTAAATTCATTCTTACTTTGCCTTTAGCACACTCCCCCCTCTCACAGACAATATCATCTCTGCACACTTAGGCTGGTTTGGCACTCGTAAAAAGGGCCTTTCTACACTGTCCCCGTCAGCTGAGTCTTTCCAGCACTTGAAACTTCCAACTGGCATATTTTCTTGGAGGTTTTCTGGGAATCTCTTTCCAAAATAAATGAATAAACCAATATTTACTGGGCATCAGGTCTAGAAATGAGACACTAGTTGCTTTAAAGGACATTGAACTGTCTTGACAGCTTAGAAGATAGGGAGATGGGTCTTCATTTTAGAAACAAGGAAGCCAAGACTGAGAGGAGGAATGGCAAGGCCATTCAGCAAGTCAGTGACAGAGCCACTACTCACACCAGGCTCTAGGACTCTTGAGTCCTACGCCCTCTACTGATTTATCCTTTCCATCCTCTTTCCCATACTATGAAAACTGACTTGCCATGTGTGTTGCACTGAAGTTTTTTTCTAATTTCCTTCTTCTAGTCAAAAAGAACTTGATGATGTTACGAGCACTAATCGTCCCACTACAAATACTTCCTACCCTGGTTCCTGTCAACTCAACCGGGATGAGGCCAGGCTATTTCCTTTTCTCTATGGATTCTGGAACAGCCCGTTCTAGGAAGTTGTCATTTATCCTATCCAAGTCCCTGGCCACTCTGAAATTGCTCCTCTGAGGCACTCAGCTGGAGCTGAATCACTGAAGTCCATCCCCCCACCTCTGCTCCAATTCCTTACTAACCCTCACATCAACTTGCTTCCAGGTCAACATTCACAGCTCAGCAAGCTCTTCGGGCAGGGGCCTGTGGCATATGCCATCCCTTTGGTACCACCCCATCTATGCACGGCACTATCACCGCTTTGCACATGTTGGACTCTGTGGGTCTTTGTCCATGATTATGAAAAGGAGGAACTGGAGTAAAGGACCCATGAGGTCGCTTTCTTTCCTTGGTTGAAGTATGTCTAGGTTGCTATCAGAAATACTTTCCTGATACTTTCTCTTATCATTGTCTCAAAACAACTTTCTTCTGTGAGATAAACTGCAGTGACATTAACAATAATCTCTCATATTACAAAAAGCTTTGCCTTTTCAAAGCACACTCCTTGATTTACTTACGTCTTACAGCTTTGTGAAGAAGCCAAGAAAAGTGATCTGTCCATTTGACTGGTGGGGAAGCTGGAGCCTGTTCTAGGTAAATAACATAGCCACATCACGTAAGAGTCCATAGGAAGCAAGCCCAGAACGAAGGGTTTGCATGAAGAGGCTTGCACGATGCCAACTTTTCTAATTCACTCATTTATTTAGTGGGTTTTGAACACTGATACTGAAGTATATTTATAGATTCTGGCTGGGTTTAGCTGCCACTTCCTGCACCTGCCCATTGACCAAGTTGGCTAATGAAACTGTTTTCATGCTTTCCCTTTACCCCCACCTCTCTAGCTATCCTAATGCCTTTTCCTTAAGTTAATTTGTCCGTTGGAAATCTTAGTTTGTGTTTCCTGGCTCAGGGTCACTGACCTCGTTTGGCCAAGCCACAGTCTTAGTGTGAAGGAGTTAAGATGGCAGGCAGAGGGGCACAGAGCCCTCTTCTGGAGACAGCACATTCTCGAAGCTCCCAGCCTTTGGCTCTTTTTTTTTTTTTTTTTTTTTTGGTACCAGGATTGAACTCAGGTCCTTGCGCTTGCAAGGAGGCCACTGAACCACTGAGCTAAATCCCCGGCCCCCCTTGGATATTTTTAAACCAGGTATTTTCATGAAAATTTTGTAACTTGCTAGCAAATGACAGAAGTACTTACTGATACTAAGAAAGCACTGGTAGGAGGCAGTGTGCTAGGGTTCAGAGATGGGTTCCAGCATCTCAGTTTAGGCTGTGAATCCTAACTGTACCCCTTCCTGGCTGTGCAACCTAGACAAGAGGCTTATATTTTTTTTAAAAAGTACATCATAGAGTCAAATCAATCATTCAATCAATCAATCGGTCTCCTAAAGTACATAAAAGAATAAAATAAAAATAAAATGTTCTCATGTGAGATAATGAAAAGATGGAAATAAAGTTTGTAGATGGGGAGGGGGGTGAAGGGAGGGCAGGGGTAAAGGGAAAAAATGAGAATCAGGACCTGTTATGTAAAGGTACAAGATCCCAACAATGAATGTAACTGTACTGCAACCCTAAAATGTACCAATAAACTCAATTAAAGCTGAAAAAAAAGAAGAAAGTAAATCACAAAGCATATTATTGGAGCAACTTGTTCAAAATCATAATCCTGTAAATTTTATGTGATTTAGTTGGGTGGGGGATTTAGCTCTGTAAGGGGAAAAAATGAGAATCAAGACTTGTCATGTAGAGGTACAAGATCCCAACAATGAATGTAACTGTACTGTATCCCTAAAATGTACCAATAAACTCAATTAAAGCTGAAAATAAAATAAAATAAAATAAAATAAAAAATAAAATAAAATATTCTCTCACAATACTTCCCATTGTCAGTTGCAAGAATACCCTACCAGCAGGATATGACTGCATGCATATCTACTTCACATACACACATGCTACCAGAATGTCTTTTTGGAACCTTAATTTTTTTTTTTTTGCACTTAATATGTCATAGTGATTTGCTTTCAGAGTATGCCAATGGACCACTTTCTTTTTATTAGCTGCACGAAATTCCCTTTGAAGGGCATATTTACTGGGCAGCATTGAGTGTTCCAGAGTCTTGTTTCTTGTTTCTGTTATAAACAGCGGTACAGTGGCCTACATTTTAATAGATATCCATAGGATAAACAACTTATGCAGAGTCTCTGGTATAAGGAACAGACACAGCTACAGTTTTTAAATGAATTATCAAATTATTACCCACTCAAGAAAAAGATTACGCCACTCTCATCCGGGTGGGAAAGTCAGGGGAGTATATCTTGCCTCTCATTTTTCTTTTACAGCCCCCATGCACAAGATGGGAACAGAGTAGCAGTTCCATAGGGATTTTCCGATTGGTAGTATTGTAAAATAAATCCAAACACACCCTCCATGCTCAATCCTAAACAGAATCCAAGATGTACATCCTTGAAGTACAGACTAAAAATATCTGTGGTGCCTGTGTTGTCAATTTCCCCCTATTGTAACATTTTCTTAACAATCCTAGCAGCTGAGACCTATGTGAGTTTAATGGCTTGCTGCTTCCTTGATGGACCAGGTAATGAACCATCTCCCCTTCCTGCTAAAATGAGTAGAGGCTTTAGATTTAACTCTTGTGAACAAAGGAAGAGGACACCTTCATCATTTCCCACCCACTTCCCAACGAGGGCTTGTGAGGCTGCTGAGCACGATTTCAGGTCTTCCATGCCGACACCATCTGAAAACGTGGTTCAGCCCAGGCAAGCCCAGCTGAAGTGGTCCCTGTCATCTATAGCATAATGGAGAAAACATTCTAGAAACAGCAGCTGAGGAACTGAATTCTGGCCCACTCACACTACTCGTCAGCCGTGGGACTTTGGGCAAGTAACTGCCTCTGAGCCCCGGCTCCCTCATGTGTGAAGCAGGCTTAAGGCCGGTCACAGTGGTGCACATCTACAGTCCCAGCCTCTAAGGTGGGGGATGGCATGAGCCCAGGAGTTTGGGTCCAGCCCAGGAAATTAGTGGGCCCTTATCTCAAAAAGGAGGAAGGCTAATGATAACTTAAATAAATTAAAAAAAACTATTGAACACTTGCTGAACACAACACTATTCTCGATGTCTAATGTATTTTACTTCATAATATCTGGGCTACAGGTCACTGGGAAGAGAATGAAATCAGCTATGTTGAAAGGGTTTTGGAAATTTGGAAATGCTATGGAAATAGGAAGTATCATTAGCAAGATGCTCATGTCCTATTTCTGCAGCTAATGTGGCTTCCTGCTCCCCTGACTGTCTGCTCACCATGTGTGGCTGACAGCATCAGCGTTAGGTACTTCCTTTCAAAGCCAGTTGTCTTGTAATCTGACCCCCAGCCATCCCATATGAGAGTTCTGGACCATCAGAATTCTGGATTTTAAATGTTGACTCTGTCCTATGGTTTGATTATAAGCTCTGAGTTTAGTTAGCCCTGAACAAATATAAGCACTTCATTTGTAAATTTCCAAATATTGCTTACAGGTGCGTACTGCAGTTCACAGCAAGGACTTGCTTACTGACTAGGGATGTTAGAAATAGTGGTTTGGGCAGGACTGATACAAAAAGCTAGAAAAGGTTGTCCCGAGACTGTAGGCTCAGCGATCTTCTCTCCCCTCAAATGCGCCAATTCCGGAGTGGCATGGCCTGTCCTCCCTCTCCTTCCCCATAAGAAAATCTACTCTCATGGCTACTATCAAGAAATCACATAATAACAAAAGTTGTCGGGGTTGTGGGGAGAAAGGAACCCTTCTCCATTGTTGGTGGGAGTGCAGACTGGTGCAACCACTATGGAAATCAATATGGAGATACATCAAAGAGCTTGGACTGGAGGTTCCATTTGACCCAGCCATCCCTCTGCTGGGTATTTTTCCAAGAGAACTAAAAGAATCATTTCACAGAGAAGTATGTGCACCCATGTTTATAGCGGCACAGTTTGTAATAGCTAAATCTTGGAAACAGCCCATTTGCCCATCCACTGGAAACTGGATAAAGAAGATGTGTTTTTTTCTATAAAATGGAATATTACTCAGCCATAAAGAACGAGAAAATAGATTCATTCATAGGAAAATGGATACATATTGAAGATATACTCCTAAGTGAAATAAATAAGTCACACGTGTAAATACCGAATAGTTTCCCTGGTGTGAATAATCTGCAACAATGCATAAGATTCTAATAAGATTACTGACATTTAGAAATGGGAAAAGGACGCTAAAGGTGTAGGGAAGGTGGGATGGGTAGGGGAAGAGTAAAAAGGGAAAAGAAAAAAATGCGAGAGAACGAAAAGATGAAAATAAAGTGTTTGTAGATGGGGAGGGGAGGAGGGGGTGAAGGGAGGGCAGAGGTAAGGGTAAAAAATGAGAATCAAGACTTGTCATGTAGAGGTACAAGATCCCAACAATGAATGTAACTGTACTGTATCCCTAAAATGTACCAATAAACTCAATTAAAGCTGAAAAAAAAAAAAAAAGAAAGAGAAAATCTACTCTCAATCTCTGTCTGGGCCTACAGTGTAAATTCTTCTGAGATGACCAAAACTCACATAAGGGTCAAACTTCAAGCTAGAGGCTGACAGCACTGGCTGAGAACCCCAGAAGGCATGCAGGGAGAAGGCTTTCTTAGACTCTGGTAATAGTCGGGCACCTAGTGGATTCCCACCACTGGTCTAGACATTTATGCTCAATTTCTGGCTCTCACCTACTCTAATTCAGACCCCATTCTTTCGACAAAATATCTCAAGGCTTTAAGAAGTTAGAAAATAAACTAGAAATATCAAGGAATTCTATTTCCCATCCTCCGCTGGAAGGGCAAAGCCAGGCCCACCTTTCCTTGGAGTCTGTGAGCGCCTGCTGCCACCCACTGGTGACATGTGTCAGTTCACCTGCCCTGAACCAGAAAGGACTCCTAGCCCTGAAGAGCCCTCCAGGTGCTTCCCTGCTGCTCTGGAAAACCACCATGGAGACCAGGGTGTGGCTCAGTGGTAAGCACTTGTCTGCCCTGCTCCACAAGCTGGGTTCCATCCCCAGAACCGCAAAACCAAACCAAAACAAAATCCACACACCCAAAGTTTAACTGCCTTCTAAAAACTGTACATCCACAACATCTCAAGCTAGACTGCAAAAAGGCTGTGGTCTGTCAGTAGATTCAGCAAAAATTTACTGAGCACCTACTGGTAAGTGCCTGAAGCAAAAATGCATTAGCAGTCACCAGACAGTGAAAACATAAAGAAGATCAATGTGATACAAGTAACTGTTAAGGTCCCTTTCTAGTCTGAAGATCTGTACAGTAACTGCTATTCTCATTCCCACTTTTCAATCTTTTCCTTACAAATCAGTGTAAAGCACACAACTAAAATGGCGAAATGAAAGTTTTCTATTGCTCAGAAAGATATGTATGGAAGGTAAATTTCTTCTACTTTCAAGGTAGGAAAGTAAGTTTTGTCCACTGCCTATGTTAGTGGGGAGACAATAAGACTGTAGACAGGGAATATAAGCTGTAGAAGTTGGAAGAGGGTGCTAGGGAACGGAG